TAAATTAAATATATGTTTTTAAATTTGGACTTTTATCAATATCTTACTTTATTCTTGTGCCACCAATATATTGTCCGAACATAGATGTATATGTGCAGAATATATAAGGGGATTATAACTATTAGCATAAAAATAGCTGATAATGCAATGCCAATAACAACAAAAGAAAGTGCTATTACATATTAAGGAACAACTAATAAAACTTTTACAAAAACTTTACAAAAGCAATTTCTAGTTGAGCAAAGACCTCTTGATTAGAAAACCATCATAGCAACATATATTCCTCCAACTAAGCCAAGTCCAATAATCATAATTGGAATAAAAACAAATCCCAAAATGAACAATATAAAGTGCCATATTAATTAAGGAATAGTTTTAGGAGCAAATTTACAAGCAAATGGATTTATAGATTAATACTTATGACTCCAATGGTTAAAGTTTCTTCCACAAATCCAACACCAACTATATTGACATCAAGGACAATTCATATGAGAGCAACCAGCATTTTTTTCAATGGGCACACTACATTTTGGGCATTTGTGAGCACCCATATTGTAAGCCCAATCTTTATACTTTTCTTTTTGATATTATTTACAACTTCTACTCTAGTGCCATGGAACTTAGCAGTCATAGCAGAATTCTTTTAAGCATTTCGTACATTTTGATCTCTTCTATCCCTTTTTTCCATCATTAATCTAATCACAATTAGGATGAGGACAAAATTTCTTATTATTTGATTAGCTTATCTCATGATTCTGAATTTATCGGAGGAATTTTTTGTAAGAATCATCTGATGACAATTCTTTGATTTTTTCATGTTTTATTTATGTTTTACATGAATTTTCAGGGCATTCAATGCTATAAGCAAAACCAATCTTATTAATCTTAACGTTATAATAATCCATGAGACATTATTTGCAATAGTAGTGTCCACAATCTAGAATCGCAATTTCAGAAATTTTACAATTCTCATAGCAAATCTCACAATAGAAATTATCTTTCTTTATAGTATTATAATCTTTGTTTAATTATTTGAATCTCCACTTTATTTTTAAAACTTCATTCATTTTATTCTTATGAGATTCTAAGTCATGATCATCAAATGAATGCTAATGATCAATATCTTTAGGTAT